AAAAAAAAAAAAAAAAAAAAAAAAAAAAAAAAAAGTCTGACCTGGGCTTTAAATTTGGACTCACAAGCTTTGAGCTTGAGTAAATAGTGTATCTTTCTGGGCCTCAACATCCTTATCTGTAAAGTGGGGGCCATGTTAGTGCTTGTATCATTGCGTGTTGTGGGGACCTCAGCTTCCCTTTGCTGGAACAGGAAGTTGTATACAGAGGGAAAGAGGGCTGGGAAGTTTGTCAGATTGTGGGCAGTGAGGCCTGAGGTGGACAGTGAGGCACAGCAGGGCCGGCCAGACCGTGTGGTGCCCCAACCTCTCCCTTCCAGAGGGCGTGGCTCCTCTTGGATCTCCCCTTCCCAGCCCGCTGACCCAGCACCTGGCTGGCAGCCCTGGAGGCATGGGCCCAGCTGGTGGCAGGATCCCTGGACGGAGAAGGCAGCAACTAGGGAACCCATGGCCCCCCTCAAATGTGTGGGGTGCACTGCAGAAAACTGCCCTTTGCTGGCCCTGGCCCCTGAGCCAGCATCTCCTTAGACCTGGCTCCCTCGGTCTACCCAAACCTCCCTGCAGATTCCCCTTGGCTCCCTGCTGGCTGCTCCAGCTCACATGTGCTGCTTTCGAATAAAGGAACTTGGAACCATAGAAACTGGGTCAGGCCCAATAACAAACTGGCCAGCAAAAGCAGTTTGCTGGTCCTCAGGAGCCGCGGGGCCCAGCCTGGCCCAGTGGTTTACTGCATTGGGGCCTTGTGATCACCAAGGCACCTCCCAGGGTCATGGGTCGCCTTGGTGGGGTGCGCTGGACAGGCCCAAGCACGTCAGAAGCACGGGACCCTGCAGCCTCCACCCTGGAAACATTTTTGGGGGCGAGAGGGCACTGGGGATGCAACCTGAGGCCCACACAGGCTGGGCAAGTGCTCTGGCACGGAGCTCCATCTGCAGCCCTCCACCCCACAGTGCTGTTTCTGCAGCCCATCTTCCACCTCTTCCCCCTTGTCTCTGGTCTTCCATTCCCTTCTCTCTCCCTTGGCTTCAGAGAGCATCTTGTGATTCCAGAATCACAGCCAAACAATTTCCTCGTGATGGGGAAACCGCACTCCAGCCACGGGAGCCTGAGGCTCCCCCTCCTCTTCCCTCTGGCAGGCCCCCCTTTCCCGACTCCTCCACTGGCTCCAGCTGTGTTTTGCAGAACTCCCACTGGATAACATCTGTAATTGTCTCCAGATGTGGACCACAAAAACACAAAGGGGACATGAGCTCATCTTTGAATTCCTTGCCACACGCCCCCCACCCATGTCCCTGAGTTCCCCACACCACCTTTTCAAGGTCCCTGTCCTATCTGGTAAGGGAGGTGAGGAGGTGGTGTCCAACTCCAAGGAGACATGCGTGTCCTACCGAACAGCTGTTGGCAGGGGAGGCCTGGGGTTGGGGTTCCTGGCTGGCTGGAAGGTGGGGTACCCCTTCTGCCAAAGCAGTCACACCAAACAGCCCTGAATAGCAGCTGGATGGATGACTGGCATAGGTGGGGCCGGGGCTGTGCGAGGAGGCTGTGGAAGGACCTGGGCTGAAGCCCGGGTGGGCTGGGCTGAGGCAGGAAGGGAAGGGGGTGAAGAACGGACCGCTCTCCTCCAGCTGAGCTGACTCAGCAACCAAGCCCATTCCACCCTTCAGGCTGGTTTTTAGAGGAAGGGTGGGCCAGTAGCCTGGGAACCCTGTCTGGGGCAGCAGCTCCTCAGGAAAGAGGAAACAAAGCTTTGTTATTCTGCCCTCCCAACCTGGCCACCCGGCTTCTCCTGGGCAGCCGAGGTGAGATCACTGACACCGGGAGGACCCTGCTGTCAAGATGCAGGGAACTCTTTCTCTGGTGCTCTCTGCCCCAGCAGCGAGCCCCAAGCTCAGAGAAGCCTTCTTAGGTCCTGAGGCTTTCTTGAGCTGAAGGGGGAACACAACCTTGGGAATACTCCTGCCGAGAGGTAGACAGAGGCAACTGAGAGGCTGTGGCCAGATCACAGGCAGGGTAACGTAATTTAGGAAGATTTTCCGAGTGGCCTCAGCTTGACCACTTCCTCTGTCTTTTAGCAGCCCTGGGTGTAAAAGGTGGCCTTTTATGGCAGACTGGAAGTGAACAGTTGGACTCTGTCCTCAGCCCCCAGTAGCGTATGTCCTGCTCCCCAGCTCTGGCCCCCGAATCTCTTAGTAGTCCACTGAGAATAAACATATTCTTTTATGAAAATCCCCAAACTCCACCTCATGGAAAACTCTGTTCATGACGCCCGCTCCTCCCTTTTCAGCCCCCTCTCAACCACATCCCATGCACCCCTGTGCAGAACAGAGCGGCACGCACACAAAGAATGTGAAACACAGTTTATTCTTTGTGGAAAGGTTGAACAAGGTCAAAAATATCCTCAGAGGGCACTGACCCAGCCCCGCCCTGCAGGTTCCTGGGGTCAGGCACCTCAGCCCCCCTCCCCCACCCCTCCCTACGCCCCTTAACAAAAAGGAACGACTTGAATGGAGTTCATATATAATAATTATAATAAAAATATACATTAAAAAACCCAAAATAAAAACAAACAAGACAGAAATTTAGCTGAACTTCCAGCACCGTTCACCCTATTCCCCTACCCCCACACCCGACCCCCCCGACATCCCTCTCTCCTCACGCCAACACAGGGTGTCATTCTCCCAAGCCCCCGGTACCATGACCACCTTTGGTGGTCGAAGGAGACGTCATATGGGTAGGCTGGGTGGGAGAGAGGGAGGGCAGGACACGGGTGAGGTGGGCTGAGTGTGGGCGTCAGGGAAGAGAGGAGCTGACCCTACCACGAAGTACCACTGGGCATGGCAAGGCAGACTGCCAGGTCCCTAGAATCTCCTCTGGTCCCACAAGTAGGTGGCCTCTCAGGAAGGTCCCCAAATTCCCAGTCCCTGCATGCGTGCCTTCTTGGCTCCCGTTTCTGGGCTCCTGCCCACCCCCTTGTGCTGTCTAGTCAGCAAGAAAGGGGACAAAGAGGAGCCAGTGTGTCTTCAGGGCCCTTGCTGAGAGCTCCCCTAGGTACCACAGCCCCCAGCCACCCACCACTGCTGCTTCATTCCCGTCCCCTCTGACTGCTCTGCCTCGGGTCCCTGCCCTAGTTGCCTGCCACTCCAGCAAGGCTCCTTCTGTGTCCGTCAGGCTGACGCCCCAGGGCTCCAGCCCTGGTCCCCCACTTGGCCCACTCCACTCAGGGCCACATCCCTGTTTTCAGCTCTCCCAGCCTTGAAATCCCCATCCAAGGCTAACATTTGAGAGGGGTTAGGGCTGCCAAGGGTTTCTTCAGCCCCAGCTTAATCCTTAATGGCTCAGGCTCCTTCTTTGGACGTTTTCCAGGGTTGGGTGGGCAGGCAGGAGCTTTGTGGAAAGTGACTCTCCAAGCCACCAAGACTCTCCTTGAGTTTTCCTTCTAGGTCTTAAGGTGGCGGAGCAATCTTTCCCCCTCATCTCCCTCAGGGAATCCACCAAGATTAGATTCCTTTCAGCCAAAGAGTGGTGGGAGGCTACCAATTGGGTATACCCAGGGCTTTCAGGGCTGCAACGCCCAGAGCCTCCTGAGGTCAGAGTTCAGAGGTTTAAGGTAAGTCAGGGGATAGGAAAGGAGCAGATGACCCCATTTGACCTTTACCAGTGAGGTCTGAGGGTCCTGCCTTCAAGTGCAGAGCCCCCACGATATTCAGACAGGGCTGGACACACACAAAGCTCTAGGGTTCGCCTGAGTGCCAGAGGCTAGAAGGGGCTGCCCTCCTGCTCAGCCCTCAGGGGCTACCTATAGGGAAGAAGCATCGCCAGGGTGAGGGTGGGAGAGGCCAGGCAGGAAGAGATGGAAGGCTGGAAGGATGGGGCTCAGGACGGGTAGGAGCAGCCCACCCACCACCACCTGCTGCTGCGGCCTTCAGAGGCAAAGTCCTCATGGTAGGAGTGGGTGGGCGGGCGGTGGGGGTCAGACCTTGTCCAGCAGGGAACGTTGGCAGTACAGAAGTCGCTTGGGGGTCCCATGGCGTCTGAAGAAGAAAACGGCGAGGCCCACTGCCAGCACTAGGAGCAGCAGCAATACGGGCAGCACCACAGCAGCTGCGTTCACGGCCCCACTGCCCTCCTCGTCCACCTCGATGATGATCACTTCCGTCTCCTCCTCAGTCCCCTCGTCTGGCCGGCCCCCCGATGGGCAGCCCATCCAGTCCCGCAACACTGACTTGGGGTAGCCGGGCTCCACCTTCAGTTTCTGATTGTTGAATTTCCAGTATTTATTCCCCTTGTAGAAGTAAGTGAAGACTGGAAGCGAACAGATGAGATGGGGCAGGGTCAGGAAAGCCCCCAGGAGAAGAGAGCGGAGTGGGCGTGGTTAGTGCAAGAGCCAGCTGGGCTCACTGCAGCCAGCCCTGGCCCCTGCCCCCTGCTGCCATCTGTCCATCTTCCCCTCCTGTCTTCTTCTGTCTGTCCTTCCTTCTTCCTTTCCCTCCTTTCTTCCTTTTCCCCCCTCATACTGGGAACTGAACTCAGGGCCTTCGGATTGAGCTATACTCCCAAGCCCTTTTTTATTGTTTTAAATTTAGCAAAGGTCTTTCTAAACATTGCTTTCCTCAGCTGTGACATGGGGGCAGTCATAGACTAGAGTGGAAGAGTGGCAGGGACTGAGGGGTCGGATGTGTCAGAACCCTGAGCCCAGAGCCTGGCACACAGGAAGCCCTCCACTGTCAACCCGTTCTCTACACCATCCCCTTTCTTAACTCCACTACCCACTCCTCTCACAGACACTTTCCCTTGCCCCACTCACCTTCATCGCTGCCCATGAATGACCCTCTGGGAGAGTCAGGGATCCCTTCCCAGACTTTGATGTTTTTGGGGTACTCGCTGTCCACGGCCCTGAACTCCTCATTGAAACGGTAGTACCTGGGGGAAGGAGGTGGTTGGGCCCCGGGCATGTCCTCAGAAGGCAGCAGGACCCAAGGTGCCATGCCCCAGGGAGCAAAGGTTGGTGCGGCCGGGGTAGGGAAGAGGGTTCTGGGTAATGAAGGCCTGCAGCTGGAAGTGGCGGAAGGAGGAGGTGGAGGGGAGGGCCCAGGCTGCAAGGAGCCACCAGCAGCCCTTAATGACAGTGCCTGGCTTCTGGGGTGGAGGCACAGCACTGGCGGCAGGAGGCATCAAATGACCAGGTCTGAAATGATGACCCGGTCATAACCCACTCAGGCGGCACTCCATGAGGCTGCCCCTTGCTTGGCAACAGCAGTGAAGGTTCAGCCAGGCCCTCTCTCCCGACTTAGTGGGGTGGTGGTGATGCTTCTGAGGAGATGGGCCTGGGGTTATGGGCCTGAGGTCTTACTTGTTTCCCCGGAAGAAGTAGGTCTTTCCGTTGGGCATCCAGAAGAGAGCGGCATCGATCCTGTCAGTAGGCAGCCCTCGGCCCAGCTCCTTGATGTGCTTGGGGTAGCCAGGTTCCAAGGAAGCCTCATCAAACACCCAGTGTTTATCTCCTGTGATGGAGGAAGAAGGGCTCAACTTGGGCTCTGGGGTCTTTGGAAGAATCCAGTGGAATCAGTTCTTCTAGGGAGATCCTCCCCACTCCCGAAGCCGAAGGCGGGCTGCCTCGTTACCTTTGAAGAAGACAAATTTGCCATCCTTCCTCTCATAGGCAGTGTTGATGGACGCAGGCAGGCCCCTCCAGAACTGGCCAATGGGCATTGGGTATCCGTCCATCACTTGGTTATTCCTCACCCGCCAGAACCAGCGCTCCTGGAAGCCAGTTCAAATGGAAAGAGTGCTTTACATCCTGTGTGTAGTTTAGTCCTATTCCTCAGCCCCTAATACTGCCCCCTAGATTTTAACTGTCAGTTCTGTTGCTATTTCCACCCCACCTCCCTGCCATACAGCCCTTTTATTCCCCTCACCAGTCTATTTCTTCCTCTCACCTTGAAAACAAACATCTCCCCTCGAAGCATGGCCACGGTGTCAAAGTTCCCATCACAGATGTTGGGCCCATAGGTGGGGTTTTTGGGCTTATCAGGGACCGAGGGCCGGGAGGTAGTCCTGGGTTGAGGGGGCATCTTAGTGGGTAGCCCTGACTCACTCCCTGAGGGACAGAACAAGAGGGGCACTTCAGACTTGGAAGGACCGACAGATGGCCAGAAAGTACCCCAAAAAAGTATGGATGGGTTCCTTCAGGAGGCTGACACAATCACCTGGAGGTGACAGAAAAGTGAGCTCAAAAGTGGGAGCTGACAGAGGTAGGGTCTGGCAGTTTGTGCGTGTCTGTATGTGTGCGTGTGCACATGCTCCTGTGTGAAGACTGCAGGGTATGAAAGGGAAGATGCACAGACCAGAGGTACCAGGAGGAAACAAAATCACAGAAGAATCAAGTGTGTATGTGGATCACTCACCATAAAGTTGCTGGATGCCCCGGCGGTCATCATCGGGCAATACAAAGTTCTCCGTGTCCATCCACTGGTAAAAGGGTGCCATGATGGCCGAAGGGTCATTAGAATGCTCCAGGCCCAGAGCATGGCCCAGCTCATGCACAGCCACCAGGAAGATGTCGTTCCCTGGAGGGATGGCGTGGTGAGAAGTAGCTTAGATCCTTTCTCTCACACTCCCTGATTCCCCCCACACATGCAATGGGCCATATTTTCCACCCATTGACCAAATCCCAAGGTCCAGTTTCCTGTTTGGCACAGAAGGCACAAATCTAGTCAGTAACTTAGGTGGAGTAAGAGTGCTCTGGGGCAGCATCTTAATTCCAGAAGGACCTGTGTTAAGGGAAGGTAAGGCTCCTTGCAGGCCTCAGTTTCTCCCAAGAGCTTGACACAGTACTCGCTCGGAAAGGTGGATGAGAGGATGCTTTGAAATCTTTGCAAAGTTAGTCAGGGAGTGAGGGAGAAGAGACCCAATGTAAATAGCTCCCAACAGGATTCTAGCTTTTGTTAGAGTTAGGCTGGGAGATCTCTGCGGTTCCTCTATTCCTGGCATTTTGGAAGCAAAGAGGAGAACCTCTCCTCAGCATTGGCCCCAGGGCTCCCTCACTCACCATTCAGATCGTCATTCCGGACAGTCCAGGGCTCAGCAGAGTCAAAGTGGGTGTCCCCTCCGATGTTGGGGCCTGGGAAGTAGGCGTGGGCCAGGAAGCCCCCCTCACCATCAAAGGGTGTGCTGTCACCATGGAAACCCTCAGCAAACAGGATCATGATGTCGGCCTGCTTCTCGTGGCCCTCTCGGATGTAGGCATAAGGTACTTCTCGGAAACGCAGTGGGGTGGCACTCTCCCACACTCGGAAGGCCTTGCGAATCGCCTCATATGTGGCATGCTCACCCACTTTGGGGGTATAATTTTGGATGCTGAGGTCCAGCCATAAGGGGAGAAGATGGGGTATGTTAGGATAACGAGGGGTAAAACTCTCCTTGCCTGCACTCTCCCTGGTCTGAGAGTTGCCTGCCCCCTTTGCCTGACCTCTCCTCCTGCTGCCTATGCATAATGCCTCAGCCCGAAGCTTAGGGGGGTCTCAGGCTTTGGCTCTCAGGCACTGAGGTGCATGCCAGTGGCTGCACTCTTCAGGATTATAGCCATTTTGCTCCCCACTCCCTGGGATGTTTCCCGGGAACGGAGGGGTGAAGTACAGGAGGTCTCTGTGCAACACAAGTGACAGGAAATGGTACTAGATGGGAGAAGGGCTTCTGGCCTGTGGGACTCACCAGAAAGTGATCTCATTATGCTGCCACTTAAGGCCCTGGATGGCGTAGCGCTTCCTTCGAACATTGGCCTTGATCTCAGCCCCAAACATGTCTGGAACACCACAGCGGGGGCGCTTCATGGCCCTGGGGTGGAAGCATCGGGGTCAGTGCAGTGTATGAAAGAAAAAGGGATCCAGGGGACAGGGTGGAACTCTACAGCAGGCCCTGGATCCTGGCCCCTGGCCCCAGCAGCAGGCCAGGGTGAGGCTGTGTCAGTGTGAGGAAAGGGCAAGGTTATGAGGTCAGGGTGACTCTGAGAAGGTCCAGATCAGCACGGGGAAAGGAGCCAGGCATTCATGTGGCAAAATCTCTGGTGCTTGGTGTTGCCAGTGGGTGCTGGGCAGAATTCCTAACGGGGTGGAGCACTTACTTCATGGTGTCTGCATCAGCCTTGCCTGTTACCCGCAAGCCGTAGAACCTCTGCATGGCAGCGATGGCAGCGGAGAGGGACTGAGGTGAGCGCTGCGTGTGGGTACGTAGGTCCCCAGGGGGCAAGTAGCCATACTGCTGCAGCCAGGCCTGGAGTGAGAGGAGAATGGTGTAGAGCTCCCCAACTTGGCCGAGGGGTCCATCTGCATTCCCGCAGTCCTGGCGAGCAGGCGCCCTGGCTTGGTGAGGGAAGGGTGATGTGCTCCCAGCCAGGCTCTGGCACTGGGTCTGGAGGAACTCCCAGCTGCTCTGGCCTAGGCCCCAGAATGGCTCGTGCTCTTGGGGCTCTGAGCGCTGACGGCAATGGGCAGCCACAACAGCTACAACTCCAGACTGACTGCAGTTTTCTTGAAAATGAGAGCCCTGGTAGTTTAACAGAGACTGTCTTTTCAGAGCTGTGATTCCTTCCAGTACTTTTGACTTCTGGACCAGTGTTCCTAGATCCATATACCATGTCCCACCTGGGAATGCTGCGTGCCCATGATGGGTGCACAGGTGGTGTAGGGGCTATACTTTTGTGCCCAACACGATGCTCTCCTACGACAAAGCTGCCATATCTCCAGGACCCCCACACTGACATCTCTTTAGAAAGGAGGGGAGCAGAGGAGTCACAGATGAGGCTGGCTGCTGACAGGGGAAGCTGGGGACCTCTGATCTAGCCATGTCCCCAACTCAAGCACCACTGATCCAGGCCTTGAGACCTCAAAGCTCATTTAAGACTTTCATGAAGGAGTAGGAGAGAGGAAGGCAGTGGACACTTAATGACTGTAGTATTCTATTTCAAGTATGCTGTGAATTGTTCATAACATAAAGGCTGGAAATTGCCCTAAATTAAAGTTAGGTTTTTGGTGTTTTGATTGAAAGGTACACACACTGCAAAGCCTCACCAAGGAAAAAGTCAGCCTTTATTGTAAGAACAATGGAGTACTTGCCTGAAAAGTAAAACAAGATAAGATATATATGGAATACGAAGATGTTTGGATTTTCTTATGAGGAGACATGAGTCAGACAGCTCTGGTCCCTGGTCCAGATTTGCCTTTCTAAAGAGTACAAAAGAAGCTACAGATTGCCTAGGTCAGGGACTTGGAGGGAGATCCCTATCCACAGTCTGCAGGATGGGTCTCCACACTTGTCCTTCCCACTCAGGCCCAGGGCTGGCTGGTGGAGCAATGCTCTTGTACCAGCAATGGGGGTGATTCAGGAGCAGCTGACTGGGGACCTGAGCCCACAGGGGCAAGAATTGCAACACAGTTTTGGGAAGCAAGCCCCTAAGGATGACAGCAGTTAAAGCTGCAGATATAAATAAACATCCTTTTTCGTCCCAATAGGTCAGACCAGAACCCCAGTACCACCCAGCTCTGAGAGTCCCTCCTTAGGGGTACAGGGGTGAGTGACTTTTTATCTCTGGTATACCCCAGGGGAGCCTGTCAAGGTGCTCCAGTTCTGAGCCGATCTTGAGAGCTGTTGAGAGCTGTAGGCGTGCCCCGACCTGTGCTGACTGATGTCATTGCCAGTGCCCTCGGGAGGCCTGCTGCAGCCTGTGTCCAAGTATGCAGGACACTCCCTTTGCCCCTCGCCTCACCTGTAGGATAGACACGCCCCTAGGCTACTAACCTTTGTGGGACAGCAGGTGCTTCAGGACTTGGGGAAGGACAGGACACACTGACCCTTGAAGCTGGAAGTTAGCAAGACTCGGGCCAGGCCCCTCAACCTCAGAAAGCCAAGCTGAGGGGAATGCTCCTATGGGCAGGGTGACAAATGGGAGGGTGACCGAGAGGTGGGGAGAATCCACAACCTGGAGCTCTGGAATAAATCCGTCTCCTGTGAGTCAAGAGGTAGGCAGGTCCAAATATTCACACCCACAAGCCCTGCCCCATACCTTGTAAAGAAAAATGGAGCCTTAGTTGTGAAAGAGACTTCCCTGAACTTGAACCACAGGCCTGGAAAGGAAGTGCCCCTGTCCCTCTCCTCCTCCCAGGCCCGGGCAAGTTTTTTCCCTCCATCTCACAGGGGCAGGCTTGGAGCAAAGCAAGAACCACAGAGACTATGAGGTCGGAACCACAGAAGAGAGGACTCTTGTGTCTGCGGCTGGGTGGGGGAAGGGCAGAGTGCCAGACAGGCCAAGAGGAGGAGAAGGAGGGCTGTGCTGGAGCTGGTGCAGAGCTGGGAGGCCTGGTGGGAGGGACGGTGCTGGCTGAGGCCTAGGCCATCCCAGCTTTTCCTCCAGATTGTCCTGGAGAAGGAGCAACTATGTCGGGTTGCAGAACTCGGTTGGCTTCCTCCCGATGAATGGGAAGTGAGAGATGTTCCCCTAGAGAAAAGTCAAGGGAATACTTCCTACCTTGGGAATCCTGGAGTGAGTAGGGGGTTTGCAGCTCTACAGCAGGCTCTGGCCTCTGGTCCTGCCCCTCCCTCTGCCTCCCACCCTTCCATATCCCAGAAGTGAAACAGCGGTTCTGGCACTGAGATAGCCCATGACCCACTTAAAACCAAGCCAGGACTGCGGTCCCTCCCCTAGGGGACCTAGCAGGGCAGGGAAGGACAAAAAAAGTAGGGTGTGAAGTTGGCAGTGGGCAGCCCCTAGATGCCCAGGCGCCTTTTGTCAGGCACTCTCCCTTTCCCGTCCAGAGGAGGGCTCCAGGCCTGGGAAGGGGTGCCTTCTCCACACCACCGGCTTTAGCCTCTGGCCCCAGGGCAGATTCTTTTCTCCTTCATCCTTGAGTCCTACAGTTCCATTCCTAGGGCCACACTTTTCCATGCAGCCTCTGATTCCTTCAGGTACACACAGCATGTTCGCTCTTCTTTCTGCAGAGGTTTCTTCCAAGCTTGGGCCCAGGACTGGGACCAAGGCTCAGGAAGCCAAATCCTGATCCCATCCCCCTTCTTGGGCCCTTCCCAGCCCCTCCCGACCGCACCCAGGTCCTCGTAGGGCTGAGTGGGTTGTGATGGCCCAAAATAAGAAGCTGATTAAATCCGTCTCCCACCTTCACCCCAAAATAAAAGAGTGAGAGGAAAAACTTCCTCAGGCAACTCCCACGCGGCTTCCTCCCGGTCCGGTGGGCCACGGTCAGGGAAAGGGTGAGGGCAGGGGCCGGGCCCTCCCCTTCCCCCACTCCCGTGCAGTGCAACGTCTCCAGCCACCAATTAACGTAGAAAAACAATTAACAACACCGAAAAGGCCTGAAGGCGCCGGCGGGGGTGGGGACAGGGGAGGCAGTGGCCCGGGTGAGTCCCCCGCCTCAAAAGGAGAGCTTTGTGAGCACGGAAACGCGGCCAGCGCGGCGACCTTCGAGGCCAGGGCTGGGGGCCCACACCCAGAAGGGTCCCCTCGGAGCGCGGGGGCGCCGGGGGGTGGGGACAGGGGAGGCAGGGGCCCGGGTGAGTCCCCCGCCTCAAAAGGAGAGCTTTGTGAGCACGGAAACGCGGCCAGCGCGGCGACCTTCGAGGCCAGGGCTGGGGGCCCACACCCAGAAGGGTGTC